AATAGCTGCTGCGTGACATCGCTGGTCACGTTATTGCACTAGAGGAGAAGGAGATACTACAGCCGAGCAAGAAAGTGACTTTTTGTGTTGTCACCTAAACTTCGCAGGATACGCCTCGTATTCTGACTTTGAGGAAATTTTTATGATGATTGATATATGACAAGTCACTAAGTCACCTTATTGATTAAACACAATTTGAAATGTTTCGAGTTGTGATGTTAACAATATGGAATCAGGGCCGTTCCTACCCGGGGGTGCGAGTGGTGCGAGGAACCAGGGCGGCAAGGTAGGAAGGGCGGCAACGGCGATATTCCATATCACAGCCGCCTTGTATTTACAATGCCGCCCCACCACTGTATTTGGTCCGATCACCGATGTGTCCGATGTGTGAATTCTCAGGCTACCAATACAGAAAAGAACGTTTGGAAAAACAGGAACGCCTGAAAAGTCTGACTTCAGATATTTAAAATTTTTCTCGACCTCGCAGTAGTCGCGGTGGAGAAGGGTCTTCATCTTACTCTCAGTCTCAGTCCGATCCTACCTCGGAAGATGCGGACATAACCATTGCTGTTGAAGACGGAGATAGAGGTCGAGCTGAAGAAATGTCGGAAACGACGGAAACTGTGGAGTTTGTTGCGACTGCGTCTGTACAAGAAAATAGTGTCGAAGACCACCAAGACGATTGTGCTATTGACCTTCAAAAAATGTTTGATCTTGCAAAGTGGCCAAATATCATTAGCGATAATTTGAAAATATCAATCGTGAAGAAAGGTCCTTGTCAAGTTAGGAATGTAATTTTTCCTGAAGACCACGGGAAGGCCTTTTCAGAGAATTATTACGTCAAGAGATTGCATAACGGTGGAGTCTGTACTGAATAAAAAACTCGGAACTACAAATCTTTATGCGCTCTTAATATTTGGTACGACATTTTATCGAATGTCAATGTTGTCAGTAAGATTTTGCAAGGCGTTAATGTTAACTTACACGTTGCAGTAGAGCATTTAAATTAACTGAAACAAATAATATCAACATTTCGAACAGATGAACATTTTACGGTAACCTTAAATGAAGCACCTGGGTTAGCCAAATGTCTTGGGATTGAAAATCAATTTCTTCTAGAAAGCCAGGTGAGGAGAAGAAAAAAGAAAAGACAATTTGATAATGTAGGCGATGATGAGAGTATCAGCAGTCCGGAAAATAGCTTCAAAGTGATTTTTTTTGCAGTACTAGACACTGCGTCAAATGCTTTAGTGGAGGAGTTTGAACAGTTTCAGGCTTATAGAAATATCTTCATACATTTGAGCGATTCTCGGAATTTGACAAAAATGACAAAAGATGATTTGAAAATATTCTGCTGTGAGTTAGAGCAGAAATTATCTGATGAAAATTATGATAACTGTAAAAAAGATGTCAGATTCCAATGGAATTGAAATTATTACCAATTTCATCAATGTCTCAGAAGTATATTCACCTGAAAGTGTTTTAGAATATATTTTAATAAACGTTCTACAGAGTGCTTTTCCTAATTTGACCATAGTATTGAGAATTATGTTAACTCTGCCTGTCACCGTAGCAAGTGGAGAGCGCTCATTCTCAAAGTTGATAAAAAACTACTTACGCACAACTATGTCCCAAGAGCGATTAGATAATTCAGCAATCATTTCTATAGAAAATGAGATATGTGAGTAATTTAATGTTAATGATGTTGTCAGAGATTTTGCAAATGCTAAAGCGCGAAAAGTCGATTTCTACTAATTATATTATGGCTTTTTATCCTTGCAATACTTTTTTAATTTTTTTTTGAGTTGGTCAGTTTTATATTTAGATTACATTTATTTATGTTGATATAAAAGTATGTATTATAAAATTGCGTTGCTATATTATTGACTTTTTTATCTTAGCGTCACTATAGGATGGTGGTGGTAAATGTTCCAAAAACATAGTAAAATTACAGATATGAATTTTTTGTTTCCACAAAGGGCGGCAATTTCTCGTTTGCACCAGGGCGCACACTACCACAGGAACGGCCCTGTATGGAATATTTCTATTTGTCAAATATCATTGCATGCGTTGCATTTGATGAAATGGAGTAGGTAATACGAGTTTTTGCAGAGAAATTGAAATAATAGCAAAAATAAAAGAATAAATACAAACCTAGAATGGAACGTGGGAATGTATGTAATTTAAATATTTTTTTCTGCATGAAATATGAAGCTCCACCTTCATGTTTGAATTCCAATTCTGAAAAATATATTATAATTCCTTCGGATTGAACATTTGGAAAAATGTGTATTTGAAAGAATTCTCAAGAATCGATTTAAATTTAAATTCCATTCATTATAGGTATTTCCTTCTTTCAGAAAATTACTACCTATACCTTATTCGTGCCTATAGTCACTTCTCTTCCCAAACTGTATCATTTCAAGTTTATGCGAAATTTCAATGAAACTTATTGCTATTCAACTCAAATTTTATATTTGCAAATACCCGTTTGTTTCTATTCAGAAACTAGAGAAAATAGAAAAACTATGGAAAGAGGAATGTTCAGCAACCAAAGGACACGATTTGGATTCTGCTAAAATGATAGGAACTCAGAGCACATCTTCAATAAATCCAGTCATGAATATAATGGGGTCTACAAATGAAGAAAAAATCCTATAATACAACATATTATAGGGTAATTTTTGGAGATGTGACATTTCAGAAAATTGCTGCTTTTCAGGCGTGACATCTCTATAAATTTTCGAATTATCATGAATCGAAACTGTAAGATATCGAAACTTTTTCTTGAAAAATTGAGAAAAATATTCGAATATATTATATAACTAAAAATTTGCTATGTAAGCTTATGACGTAATAATATATAATTTGAACTATATATTTCCTTTTCTCGGTGAATACACAAAAAAAATTTAGTTTGATACTACAAAATTTTTGTAAATTCAACAAAATCTGAGTGTCATATATCCACGACAAAATATTTTGTCACCGCAACAAATGTTTTTGTCAGTTATCAATTCAAATTTATTTGATGTACTTCATTATTGATTCAAATTAACAGCAGGAATTGGTTGAATAAACAATGACTATTTTGTTCCTATAATACAATATCTGCTCTTATGAACGATTCTGTCGATTGGAATGATTATATCATTTCATTCAAGTGACAAAATTTCCAGTTTTTCATCGTGTGAATACGTAAAAATAACAATATATGTTCTTCGATCAACCAGATTGAATTTAGAATTGACAAAATATTTTGCTGAATAATAATGAAAAAAAAAATCCAATAACTGAATTTCAAAACAAAGAAAAATCAAAGATCAATTTCCACAGTTGACAGAGATTCATCAAGTCAAGTAGCTTGATATTTTAACAGACTACTTGACTTGACTTGAAAATCAAGCTCGTGGCAAATTACGTACTTGACTTGACTTGAATTTGAGATATTTATTACTTGACTTGAAATCAAGCTACTTGATAATACATTAATACTTGATCTTGATACGCACGAGTCGCACGGCGTATATTTCTGCAAGCTCGCTCACGCTTAGACAAAATACGGGGGTTCCCCGAGATCCGAGCTGACTGAATCGATCGCGCAGTCAGTCTTACGATGCCATTTTCATTTCATCAGTTATATACAGGGTGACTCACGGTCGATGGTAGGTTAGACGTTCACGTTTATGATAGGAACGCAACGCAGGATTTTTCTGAAAATTTCGCATCTCACATTTCATCACCGGTACTATCGATCTAATATATTTTCAAAATCACGACGTTGCCGCTTCTATAGAAAAGTAGGAACCACTTTGTTATTTCGAATTGAACACCCTGTATTTTATTGCATTCTCAGATTCTCCTTGAAGAGTTGATTTCATCGATACATCACACTCGGGGTATAGCGGAAAAGATCATGGAGATATAGAGTGCGAAAAATCGAGATTTTTCAATTTCAGGAATTTTTTGTGTATGCGAAATTTTCAAATCCCTCGTCGCGTTCTCCATGAACGTCTAACCAATAACATCGACCGTGAGTCACGCTGTATAGATACGCAATAAAACTGCTGAAAATCAAGTAGCTTGATAGAACTACTTGATTTTTCAAGTACTTGATAAATAATTACTTGACTTGACTTGACATTAAAAAACTTTCGCTTGACTTGAACTTGACTTGATTTCAAGTCAAGTCAAGTCAAGTAGCTTGAATATCAAGTCAAGCCGTGAATCTCTGACAGTTGATTCAAGACTATTAGCTTGTATAAGCGTCATAAAAAATTCTAGGACAGCCTAATATAATTATATAAACGGATGGATTAGGTAGGTATATGTACAATTGTTCACCTCAATCGGGGCAACGTAGGAAGGTTGGAAGAAACGCCACCTGGTGGCAAAAATGCAACTAGATAATCATTCCACAAAATATTTGTTTGATATAATGTATTTGTGGGTTCTGTTCAACAAAGTAATTTGTTCGAAATAACAACATATTTCTTGATAGTGATGTGTTGAATCAACAAAATATAATGTTGCCATAATCAACTCAATTTTGTCGAATAGAAAAAGCCGTTTGGGTAGTTGCACAATGAAATGATTGTTGAAACAACAAAATATGATGTTGTACTTAGTTAAATCTGTGACAAAATTAATTTAATTTTATCAAATAGACAAAATGCATATGATTGATTGAACAATGAGATAATAGTTGGATCAACAAAATATTTGTTTTATGTTAACTATAAATGTTGTTGAATGAAATGTAACTTTTGTTCAAGTAAGCAAATATTTCAACCAAATCATGTTGTCTCTTCGAATAGGTTGCTCATTTAGAATAAACATATATTCTGTTGATTCCGCAAAATTGTTTATAATTCAACAAAAAAAATGACCAAAATTATTTTGTTGGTGCAACAACATTTTTTTATGTGTAAGGTTCACCAGAGACAAGAAGTGACAATTTTCAAAGTCTATTTTCTCGAAACAGAGAATTTTGGATTATCACACTATTCTTCGCAAGCAAGGTGCATAAAATATCCTATGGGAATGAAGTGTATTTCATAATGTATCATCATGTATAATGACCCCGGTATAATGTATATGTGTATTGATATGTGTCATGTTTCACTCCAAGATTGTCACAATAAGTTTAGATCATCTGTGTTTACTTTTGGAAAATTGAGATTTTCCCGGTAAAATTGAATAATTAATTATCTATCCCTGGACGAATATCACAGGTTCGGACCACTTATCGATGTCGCAGTGTGACATTTGTAATATAAAATCTACACCTGTATGTGAACTGAAAGTGATTTTTTATGTGATGTCCTATTTCATGTCTAAACGACGTCACAGTGATGTTGTATCACTAACATGTTTGTGATTTGAAAAAATAATTGACAAAAATATGTTGTTGAATAATATTTGAAAAAAAATCTAATAACTGAATTTCAAAACTAAGAGAAATTAGAGATTGATTTCTTCAGTTGATTCAAGACTATTAGCTCGTATATAAGCGTCATTAAAAATTCTAGTACAGCTTTATATAATTATATAAACGGATGTTCTAGGTAAGTATATGATGTACTGAGTGTGTCCAGTTTTCGATGCTTTTGCATGATATCTCAGTTATCTTTGGAGATAGAACCTTGTGGTTTTCGCGGTCCTGTGCCACTGTTTTGTAAAACTCAAGATGGCTTAATCAGATTTTGCAACACTGTTTCCGTTTATGAGATACAGGGCGATTTTGAAAATTTATACTTTTTGGACCCCCTCTATATCTACGAAGCTTTTCAGCGAAAATGTCAAATTGAAATCTTGACCCATAGAGAAGTTTACGCAGAGTCCAGTGGCGCACTAAAACTTTTTACGGGGTATGGTT